ATATTAAAAGATTATATTTGGAAGATATAAGTGATGACAGTATTCCTTCAGCTATATTGAAATTTCCTTTTTCCACAGAAAAAGCTCGTGAGTTTTTTTTAATTTTCGTAGTTTGTTCCTTGTTTTGCTATGCTCTGTAACTGCTAACAGCATAATGTTGAATAAAAAGGACTAGAATCAAATCGACTAATAGGTAGTCAATCATTCTAACTATGTAATCTAAATTCATAATTTGTAATCATAATATTCTGAATACAAAGATCCTTATTTACTTCATTTTAAATCACCTGAAACTACTATTTACCATCGGATCAGTGGTGTAATTCTTATGGATTGAATCAAGCTGTTTTTACTTAAAAAATTCACGTTTTTGGATAATAACAATATATTCAGTAAGCAACAAACTGATGTTGAATATTTCACATCATTCATCATTAATGGTAGGTAATTAGTGGTTGATGAAATGTATTTTTCAGGAAATGAAGAACTTTTTTATGTTGGCTACAAATGTTTAGTTCGTCTGAAATATTTCTGTAGTTATTTTGAATTGATCATGTATACTATTCTGTACGATAAATCCACGAAATTGTCATAAATTCCTTATTTGAAAAAACTTGAGATATAATAATATTAGCCCCTTTAAATATTTTTGATTTTTGGCAATATATTTGTCCCATTTTCGTTTCCATTGTTTAAAAGACACACAGAAGTTAGTCTGTTCAATCCCATAATTTCTTTCACGTTGTATTAGAATCGTGTGTACTGACGAAATTCTCAGTGTTAGTTCGTTAATAATCAGGCTTATTAGAAAGAATAACAGATTGTACATGTTCAGTATTCTCATCAACATGTTTGGTCGACAGCTGTTTTGACTGTAAGTTATTTCTGAGCTCTTTAGATCCCTTACTAAAATGCTTGGTCCAAATAAAAGGAACTTCGTACTTCAATGATTATATCCTGTGAATAGCCGCAACATTTCATAAATTTCTTTTAAGTTTCACTTAAATCCGCAGTAACATAGCTCGTGTACTTATTCGACAGTTCGCAAATACTAATGAATATATATTTAAACAGTATTTGTTAAACCGTCTAATTTCTTCCTGACCAAATATCTTAGAAACCAATAAAGTATACGTGATATCGTTGACGATTGTTCCACTCACACTAATTTTTTTCGATGGCGTCACTCAATATTCATGTATATGGGTTAGTAGTTAAATTATAAAAAAAACCCAGCTTATTTACTATCACATTTCTGAACATTGAAGAGTTTTCTCCCAAAGGAAATTAATATATCTGTCGGTCTACTTCAGAGCAACTTATTATCTATACCTTTAGCTGATAATTAAACTTTTGATCTAGCTCGTGAAAACTTTTTAGTGTTCATTTAGGTTTTTTTCATAGTTTTTGTTTATAATAACTTAATGGTTATACAATATATATATATAATATCTTTTTTCAGACCAAAATTTATTCAAACTCTCTCCTTATGAACATAGTGTAAAACGAAAATCTGGAAGAACTTCAGCCAAACAATCCGATTTATTACATTCACACGAAAAGATTATATCAAGAACATCTCGTGAAATAAAATGGTTTCTTCGTCATCATTGACTAGTAATAAAACCTCGTCGTTGTTACGAAAATCTCGAAAAACAATATCTAGAGAGTTTCTGTTTCAAGCATCTAGTCTGCAGGATAAAAAATTTTGGATAACTACACTGACACCACTTGTTCGCAGTTATTATCAAAGGGGATCATGCAACGACTTGGTTTTAGTTTAATTTCAGAGAGAAGAGAATTGTTTGACTGGTTATTGATTTTTTATTTTTATTTTAGTATTTAGTATCCTCATTTTATCATCGTCATTTTAGAGACTGAGTATAGTGTTCGTGAAATGTTATTCCCTTATATATTTTTATTTTCTATTTTTGTGCAATCAGTCCTCTCTCGCACGCACCTACACTTTATTCCTTTAAAAAATGGAACATAATACTGATTCATTTTATCTTCAGTGATTTTCTTCTTGGCAGTGTGTATGCACAGTCTTTTTGTTGAAAATACTAAATCCAATCAAAGTATTTATCTTTCGCTCAAAAAAGAACTAACTAATATGTTAATCATATCATTTCTCTTGTGGTCTTTCATATTCTTAAATGCAGGTATGATTTCACTTTATCTATTTGTCAATTTTAATAATTGAATATTTTCTAATACAACACTATAGTTATTGTTATTATTCGTAATAATAATCATAATAATATACATCTTATTTTCTAATTCACTCATTTTCCTAATTATCCTCAGTTTGTTGATGAAAGATATGGTGATGGCGATGAAATGGAAGATGCAAGTTGTCCTCTATGTGTTCACTGTGTGTTTACGTCTGTATGTACCTACTATATATGTTACCACTAGATAATGTTAAAAAGGTGGCAAGCACAGTACTATTAAGTGAGGTATTGAAAGAATCCAAACAAAATTATATAATTGTATTCTAAACAGTTCGTATGTCATTTTGTTGATACCATTTTTTGTAGACAGTTCATCCTTAAGTTTTAGAATTTTATAACTGTTGTAATCCTTTGTGAAAATACGAGGTTGATTTAATTAGTTACCAAATTTACAAATGAGCAACAGTTCTTTCTTCAAACGAAGGATATATAAATCAATGTGTGCTAGAAAATCACGCACTTCTGGTGATAATAGGCTTTTTACAGACTACTTAATCTGTGCATTCATTTATAACGCGTGTTTTATACAGTAGATCCAATAAATTATTACGAAAAATGGAATGAATATGTTGTTCGAGATATAGAAGAGGTAAAGTCAAATAAATTAACAAGAATAGTACTTGTTAAAAAGATTTATTTCACTTAAGAATGTAAATGAATTGGATTTTATTCAGTCGAAAAAATGTCATTTTCTCATTATGATGACATAGAATTATCTTCTCCAATCCTAAACAGGCATTGTTGGATTTTTGCATTGATTGCACCATGTTTTAACTAAACGTCGAACACAAACACCATCAAGTGTACGAGTTTGTGTTATTTTTTAGTGCTTAGTTGTAGCAGATAGTTTGAAATTAGTTTGTGACAGAAATTAGACCGATTGTGAGAATTAAACACTTCAAGTACTCACATCTGTCAGTCAGTTCATTTGAGCAAGTACATGAAAATATATATATTCGGAACGAGTGATGGGAAAAATGTTTGAATGAGAAAATCAGTGAGGTGAGCGCTGGTTGACTAAACATTACTTTCAAATCTCTTGCATGAATGCTGGAACTTTGGTGTATTGTTGCATACCATTTTTACTCACTATGTCAATATGATCTGTTTATTTGTTAGTGACACATCTGTTATATTGTGGATGCTATGTTTCTAAATACATCATATGAAAAATAAAGTCTTAATTTTTCATATAGTGATTTTCATTAAGTTTCGTTGTATTATTCAGAGTAAACCCTATTCATTAACATTTTAGTGTACTTAAATTGTCATTGGTTATTTCATTTTCAGTGCATTTCCCGTGTATTGATTACCTCACTGTAGTTTTGTGTCCAGCGTTAACTATTTCATCAATAATGCTCAGTAATCAAAGATTAATGAATTGATACATAACTGAATTAAATTGGTTGTAAATCTTAAACTACCGTGATCTCTTCTAATAAATCTTAACAATATTTGTCTTTTTGAGTGGCTAGAACATGGAAAATGTTGTTGTGTACGGTATAGTAGTTGTCGTTAGAGCTATCGTAGCATATCTCGCTCCGTGGCCGTATGTTTAATGTATCAATGTTTTAACAAGGAATTAGCATTTAGAAACCAATAATTTCGTTTCAAGTTTGCAGTTTATTGTAATACAGTGTTCCCTTTTGCTATCTGCCTACATATTAACATATTTCCATTACGTTTAGTTGTGTACTATCGAATAGATATCAACAAGTTATGTGACTTCTTTAAGTCCATAAGTATCTCAGTAGCTAAAAGAATTAAAACAAGACATTAATTATTCACTAGTAATCACTTATTATTTAAAATAATGTACGACCTAAAACTTAAAGAAGCACAGAATAGAATAAGATTTTGTGTTGTTTTTAAATTGCAAACAAAACAAGGTTCATAAAGTCGAAAATGTACAATAAAATTAAATAGTTTTAAACCTAAATGTTAATGACTTTTGTCTATTTCTTACTCTACTGTGAAATCAAATTTGCAAAAAAAATTTTACTGATGTAACCATGTTGGTTGATTATTTTGCCAGTGTATTTTATTTAAAAAGAAAAACCCAATTAAAACAAAAAATAAACATTTCATAATAATGTGTTAACATATAACATTATCAAATTGATAAATAAATGCCTTTTTTTGGCCTTTGTAAAATATCACAATAATGATAGACTTATAACTGTAAAGCCTGATGATGAAGTTATTGAAAAACAATTGTTCGTTCAAATATTCTTCATTTTTTGAATAATGTGTTAATATAAACCTGTGGACTAATTTAATTAATTAACTAAGCAATACATAATAATTATGAATTTATCATTGTTACTACTTTTAACTATTGAATTTTTATTATTTTCTCTCTTATTGTTTTGTTTTCTTTGTTAATTTGTGTTAATCGGTTTATCAGAGGGGGTTTGTGGAGATTTTTAGAAATTTTCACAGATTGAAATCATGAGTCTAGCTTCAACTGACTCATGATTTCAATCTGTGTTAATCGGTTTAATAAATTAGATTGTGAAAATAAATATTAACAACTATTAATTATTATTTACAATTTCATAAATTTATTATCATAAATTATTATTACTACTATGATTATAATTATTCATAATATTGAATTCTGTAATTCTATACGTGTATGTACATGTTTCATGACTTACGTATTTATGTAAGTATATATTAATGTAAGATGATATAATGGTTAGATTAATCCTAATATTGTTGTTGGGAAAATCATATTTATTTATTGTTTTCTTTTTTTCCCTTTGTGATTACCACCTCTGATTAAACACTGGTCAAGAAATATCACCAATTGTTATTACAGAAATTTTATATTTATATTCATGTATATGTATATTGATTTCAGTGATGCATACAATAAGAGAGTTCAAATTACAGGATAATTTGACTTTCATTTATTATTCTTTTTGTGCAGAAGTATTAATGGATAAATATCACGTTTATTTATTGTCGAGATTTCAATTTAATCCAATTTTTTTTTCGGGAAATTGTTCTCGTATATTACATTCTATAGGCAATGGTTACGTCAATAGGCAGATAGAGTTGGGGCTACGTAGATATCAAGAAAATAAATGAACTAATGGTTCACATCATCGATTGGTATTAACTAGAGAAACAGTGAAAACCAGAAAACTCTGGACATCTTGGTATATGACTCCTCACGATGAATGGAGTTCAGTCATATAGAGTGTAAAATAACTACTCACCACTGGGAGTGGAAGATGATGATTGCACAGTAATGTGAGTTGATTATAGTTAGAAACCTAAACCATTGGATGCCCAGTCAGTGGTCTAAATTTTGGGCATTCGTCGCGAGATCTGAACGTTTTGAGCTCTATTGTCGGTGAGGTCGTGGATGAACACTGCTGAGGAGTCCCATGATAGAATGAAACATCCGCTCAATGCTTTTCAGTTTTCAGTGGTTGTCTAACTGCTGTCAGTTCGTGGTGTCGACTATGAAATTCAATAATCTACACAAATTTGTACAAACCACAATAATAAACAAGGGCAAAACATTATAATCATGTGTTATATTCAGTGATTAGTTAAAATAGTGTTTTTGAAAACATCAGAATAACTTCTATTCAGATAAACCGATAACACTTATGTGTGTGATCATGTATATATATATAGTTAAAATTACCTCTAAGCTGCGTGATTCAGTCATGAAGCCGTCACTGTCTTCCGATACATCAAAAACCTCAGATGGACGTTTGAATCCTATCATAAACCGTATCATCCTTCTAAGCAGCAGATATCTATCATATTTATGTAGAACTCATAATTATGACTTTGCCTAAGGCTCTAAATTATGGAGTTTACTTTTCAGTGTCATTTAGATCTATCATATATGTATTCTTTCTTACAAACTGTACTTTTTAGTAATATATTCCTACTACTGAATATTGTTTTATTTTACTACACACGTTTCTATTGTATTCTCATTATTTAATAGTACTTTTTAATGAATTTATTTGTTTAGAAAAAGTTGTTTTTTCCATGAATGTTATCTGATCCGGGATTCCGTGAACTTATCTCTTTACCATTATCTCCAGCTATATTACATGGACTGACACGTGCTGGATTTAATTGTGTTTCAGAAGTTGTTGGATTGAGTGTAGATCGTTTAGCTACTAGTAAGCTTTGATTGTTTTCTTCATTTATATTTTCAAAAAAAGTAAATCAAATTTACTAATTATCCTTGCAATATAAATGATTTGATCTTAGTTAGTTGTGATAAAACAGTTAATTGATTTATCTGGTTTATAGATTAGGTGTATATTCTTAAGTTCATTTGATCTATCAAACTTCTGTGAATCATATCTCATTTATAAAAGTTTTTAGAAGGGAGGTATCCTCATCAGATGCTGAAGAGTAAATTGCTTCATGTACATTAGTTAAATCAGTCAAATATCCTTACTCATACATTATGCATAGTTCATAACCTGGTATGAATATGTGTCTATTAGTTGGATTACATTATTACTGTTGTACTATCATTCGTACGCTTACATTTTTGCTATTGACTTCATCACTAATATTACCAGCGATAAATTGTCCGATATTAACATTATTAGTCCTAATACAATTGATTGTTAAAGTAAAACTTTTATCTGCTCTCAAGTCTCTCTCTATTCGACCCTAGATACCATTTATTGTTTAGTATTCTTCGGACACCACTTGAATCGAATAGTCCACAAAATCAGAACATGGCATGGACAGGTATGTTATTTTATTCCAAATAGAATAAGTTGAATCAGAGTGAATCCCTGTGAGTAAAACGTCAGTTTATACAAGAAAATTTTAGAGTCTTCTCCAATTATCTCCTGACGCTGATTGGCTAAGGAGGGGCCAGTCAACGTGCTCCAACATAATTCTTCATGGAACATCTTTTACTGCAATCTATACCATGTTAGCATCTTCATAGTTTTTAAGGTCTGCCTTACACTTTTGTTTGTTCTATTTTTAAAAGTATGTGGAGTAAACACTAAAGCTGCCCGTAGTGCATTGGACATTGTTCATCGTTATAATCAATCATCTATTGAATGTATGGATATGAACAGTATTGGTCTATTCGGTTTATGCACAGCATGGGACTTACTTGGTACATTACAAACAGTTGATGAGAATAGTCCAGTTAAAGGAAAGCGATATAATTATATCGTAAGTATGTGTCGAAGGTGAGTATGTGATCTGATCTGTTGTTTATTCCAGATAGAATACTGAGTTTGAATTTATTGTTTTTGCTTGTCTCAAATTAATTTTGAAATGAAGTAGTTTTAAAGCATGAAAAGGAATTGTTAATAATCTTGTTTATTTGCATGATCTATCTCTTTTGACATAGTTTCGATGACCTTCTTGGCGGAGGTTTCCCAACTGGACGATTAACTGAGTTGTGCGGTGAACCAGGCGTTGGAAAAACCCAGTTCTGGTTAGTCCGTGGTTCATTTGACCTTCATGTTCTATTTAACTGCATAAAACTTTTTCTCAGAAAATGAATAAAAATTGTGAAGTTTATTCACGTTTTGATGATTTCAGTTTATGGCAGTCAGTTGTTCTAGCACTTCCTTAATTGCTTAACATTTTCTAAGCTTTGATATTTGGTCATGGATGTTTCATCAATCAAGCTTGTTGAATTTCTTGGATGTTGATAAATAGTGTAATAAGAAGACATCATGACATATATAAAAACTAAATTTCCTAGTTCTGATACTCTTCATTTTCTTATTACACTATCTAAATTGATTAAAGGAACTAATTGCTTCAGGTTAAAAGGTAACTTCAATCCACTGTCTATACTCACTTAAAGGTACAGATCTTATATAACCAACCCATAAAAGGTGCCGTGGTTTAGTAGTCCTTAAAAAGAAACAGAAAAAAGTAAATCACAGAAAGTACGTTTTGACTATAGTTTATGGGTTTTTTTCCATTATGTATGTATAGGTTTGGGGTAATGGTTTTAGCTGAAGTAAATGTTAAGACATATAACTAGTCATAAGGATCTTTAATAAACCAAGTGGTATATTATACGAATTAACAATAATTTTAAATGATGAAACATAAATTCTCATTATTACTTAACTCAAAACTGACTACAGTGGAATGGATCCCGTTTCTTTTTATTTCTTTAAATAATCCTATACTTCTTATTCGGATTACCTTTGTTATTTTTAGACTTCATAAGCTTCTCCAATTTTATGTTTCTTTATTTTTTTCCTCTTATACAATTATGCAGACAATCTGAGTAAATTTAATTTTGTCTAAGGACTTTACAGCATTTATTTTGAGTCGTTTTATCAAAAAAGAGCGTTACACTTTTTAATGACAAAATTTTATTTTACTGAACTGTTCTAGAGTACTACCTTACTTCTAATATCTTTGAAAATGAATATTATGAAGTTCTTCGTTCGTTTTGAGGTCTTTTGTATGTGTTGGCTAAATGTTAGTCTTAAGATGAAATTAGAAGTCAGTTTGTTTATGATGCATAAAATTCGTTATAAGTATAATAATTCGTCATTTCTGTTTTTAATCACTTTGAAAATATCAGAAAATGTTTCTATTACATTATAAAATTGATTTTCCTTGACCAGCTTTTCCGATGTTAGTTTACTTTCTTATTTTTGGTGTAACTTCAAGTAGTTGAAGTGATTTAGACCTTCGTCGATATGAATAAGGTTAACTTGTATTTCCAGATAATTAAAATAACCCATTGTGTCATTGAATAAAAATAAGGAGGATTCAGCGAAGGAAATTTTCTTTTCGACGAAATCATTTACTTATGCTGTACATTCGTATTTATAGTAATATTTATATGGAATTGGCAATCCACTAACTCAAGCCCGAACTTTGCGTGCAAAATCAACTCGTTTAACCTCTCATCCTTCCTTGACCCTAATTCCCTTTAGTAGTATGTTTCGGTTTTTTCCTTTTTGTTTGATTATTATTGGTTTTTTAAATTACTGCTGTGTAATGTTAAATTGTAATCCGTTATTATTATTACCTTAAACAAGTTTTCTTGATTGTTATTCAGTTTTTATTATTATGACCTTTGTGTTTGTTGTTTGTCTTCATATCTGTCAATTGGACAATTATCTGATCCGTAAATTATTTTCATCCTTATATTATTTTCTTACCCTTGATTACTTCGTAATCCCATTTGATAGTAAGTCTGGAATCAATTTATGGTGCAATCTTTCTATCTTTTTATAGACATATTTTCTATATAGCTATAAATATGAATGTACAGCCTAAGTGAATGATTTCGTCAAAAAGAAAATTTTCTTTGCTGAATTCTTTTTTTACTCAATGGCTTGTCCGGTTACAACTCAACTCCTCTTTCGTGATTAGTCCATCAATTGACACCTAATTTACTTGACCTTTGATACTTGGATTTGTTCCTAAACATTTTCTCACTATCCATCCATATGATACAGTAGCTAGGTAGATAGTGCGATGGTGTTTAAAGCGAACGTTACTGAGTTAGAGTCTCGGAGTAAAAATCAACTTTAAGTTGCAGGTATAGCTAACTGACAAGTCCCATATAGGACGAAACGCGCTTCCTAGATTCCACTGCTAGCCACATTCCATCTATTTTATATCCTTATGTTAGGATGGTCATTGTCATGTATATTCATATTCAGTTAAATTCAGTCTAACATTTGTCGTTTTTTTGTTTGATAGACATGACTTTTCTTTCAACGGAATGATTATAACCGTGTTTTTTATTTAATGGGTATTTGTTCTGATTTAGATTCTGTTGCTTTTGTTTATTTGAATACCTTCCAGCTTCTCTTGTTCTTCTTTTCCCAATGTATTGAAAAAATTTTTCAACTGGACTGATTCAATTTTGTCTTAGGTTATTATATTCATACTTTTACTTTAAGTGACCTGACTTCTGTCTACAGTCTTAGAGGAACGAGTTCTATTTACAAATGAATTTCACGTGTCGTCAGACTTGTCAGGAACAAGATATTCTCTATTCATTATAAATGGTTTTCAAACCATTCAAAACGTAACAGGTAGGACAACACTTAGGCTATATTCAACATTTCCCTTTACATCTTTAAAAACTCAATTTCCGAATTGTAATACAACTTATTGAAACAATATACATGCAACGCAAACGTTCAAGAAAGAAGGTAAATTCATTTTGTTTTTAAGTAAATCTAGATAATACCCTGAAAGTGGATTCCAGAATGCGCGTTTCTTCCTCTTCTAGACTCATCAGTTCGGTGTGAACTTTGTTTATGTTACATATTTCTGTAGTAGGTATCTAAAAGAAATGTAGTTCAATTCATGACTACTATTTATATGAAATATGGTTATCGGATTACAAATTATCCATTGTTTATAAAATATAAGATAAATTCTACTGAAATGTTGCTTAATTTACTTTTTTTTATGTTATATTAATTCAGTTTATTCTAGTTATTTGTTTGTTTATTTCTTGAAGAAAAAAATCATCCTTAATAAAAGCTTAGTTATTAAATCACTACTTAAATTGTAAATATAAGTAGTACTTTTGTTTTCTGGAAAATTAATTGGTTCGATTAATAATTTTCAAAAAAGTAATCTATTGCTCCTCATCTGTATTTTATTTAATATGCATATTAATATATTTCGTTAATTTGAAAAATTTAAATTCATAATAATAAATATTATTTATTTTTACATGTTTTGTTGTCTAACTATAATAATGCTAGAAGTTTTTCTTGAATATTCAATATTTACGAAGATCTATTTAATAATGGATAATTGAAATATTTATTGACTAAACATTTTAATGAGATAATATTTGGACAATTTACTAAAGCTGTCTATCTCTGTAACATTTAAATAATATATTTTGGGGTTTTATAGTTTAAAGCAATTAGCCCCTTTGATAAATTTCGTTACTATAATAAGAAGACATAAATTATCAGAACTATGTGACATATTAGCGCAATACATTTCTAACTATCTGATCACATATATACTTGCTAAGAACATTTATATATCCTTTTATTGAAACAAAGGCTCAAATTAGTCATGAACAAAACGTATTGCGCAGCAAAGGTTATTATCAAATAAAGAACAAGGTGCATACTTCATCCAAAACCTAAAAGACTTGAAAACGATTGTGTCACATCCCACTGAGGATCTAATCGAAAACAATATTGTTCGCTTATATATGTTGTTCTAAACATCCCATTGTGTTTACCAATTTAAGTGTGCGTGTGTGTGCGACTACACATACATAGGGAGAAACAATCTTGATCTCAAAATTTGGGTATGTGAACATGTACCAAAATGGTTGCAGAAACAAATAGAATCAAGTGACCCATTAAGAGTAGAGGATAAACATCCGTCATCCTCTATTGTTAAACATATGGTCGAAACAAGCCATAAGATTGATCTTAACTCGGCTTTTGTGGTATTGTATAAAGGTGTAATAGAGCGTATACTAAGGCTTATTGAAGCCTTAGCCATATGAAAATTCAAAGCCCTTTTGTGTATTCAAAAACAGTTTGTTATCACCTTAAGCCTGATGATATTGGCTTATTATCCAGTGACTGGGTTTCAACTAGTGTCCACATTATTATTATTACTCTTTATTATTATTATTATTATTATTATTGTTATTGTTATTATTATTATTATTATTATTATTATTATTATTATTATTATTATTATTATTATTATCCCTCTTACGCCGTTTCCAGTGTAGTTGACCTTTATTTTTATATATAAATGTTCTTGTCAAGTATATGTGTGATCAGATTGTTCGAAATGTATTGCGGTAGTATATCACATATTTCTGATAATCTTCGTCTTATTACATTATCGAAATTTTATAGTTTATACCACGGAGTTAAATTGTTTTGACATTTATTTAAAACCAAGAAGCAATGGATAACTATTTTTTTCCTAGTATTATACTCTTCATCAGTATGTATTCACATCACTGAGGACCGAACAAAGTATCTTTCAGGATTCGTGGCGATCATTTAACTTTTAGACTACTAATTTGACATCTAACGCTTTACATTTCTAGTTTCAATCAGTTTTACAACTTTTAGCATGTAATAATAATTAACGGATCATGGAAGAATGTTAAGTGTGAATATTTAATGATGATTTTCAACACAAACTAACATCAATTAAGGAAATAGTAAGAATCAGGGAGTATTGGAAATAATGACACTTTTAGACTGTTTTTGTTTATTTTCTAGTAGTAATCAAGCCTAAAATATGTTTTTTCTTTAATGTCTATATATATGCATACAATTTGATTCAATTACAATTAATATATTTTACGTGTTCCGAATCGATATTATGTGTATATAAACAAGTATGTCAACCTACTAACTCCTTCTAGATGACACAAAACGATGTAATGAGAGAAATAAAAAATTGGTAATATATTAAGGACTATACACAAGATCGGACACTGAATTTAAAAGTCTCAGTATGATCACTACAAGCTTTACTTGTCGAAATCATAGTCAAGTAGGTGAAATTTTCAAACTCTTTCTGTTAGTAATATGCCTCGATCTTTAGTCAATATCATAGATATCTTACTATCTTTCTGTAGACTTGTCTGACTTAGTTGTTCACGAATAATTTCGTTATTTTTGGGACAGAAATCATCTCTCTCACTTTAAAATGAAATAGTGTATTTATATGCAAATGTGGCATTTCGTAGCTTTTACTTCCCCTTCTCAGAGAAATTTATTCTATTCTAAATGTAACGGTAAAAACTGGAATGGTTTTATAATATTTTTCAAGTTCATAGTAGTACTTTCTCTGCTATTTATTTATATGTTCACTAGTACTCGTTTCAGATTTCCATAATTTCCTTCCTAACTCCCTATTCTTCGACTTTTGTCTATTAGTATTATTATCTTTGATGCTTTATTAAGCATGTATTTGACTTTTGCAATTTGATAGTATGTTCCTTTTTGATGAATTAAAACAAAGAAAATCAATATTGTTTGGGTTTTTATTTACCGATCATCGATAGTTTGACAGAATGAATTTCTTAAGTGTTATTAGTAGTTGAATATAAAAATTTGGAGTTAACTATACAGACGAGAGACATGATGAGTATGTGGTTAATAAGTGTACAGAATTTCTCAAAGTTTCTCGTGTAGTGTTAGCGGTTTAGTATATAGTAATATTTATCAGTAAGGTTGTTCGATAGTTTTAGGAAAAGTCATGATTCCTAGGAGGTGTCAACCCTTGCCAATTAATTAGGCACGCTATGTTTATGAGTTCTAAACCTTGGATGAAGCATACTGGAACTAAATTATATTCATGAACGGGTTGTTTATGTAAGAATGTTAGCGCCTAACTCTCTTTAGTGATCGATTCGTCTTACTCAAGTTTCCCTGTTTGGTTTTTGATCCAAGTAATTTGATATCAACACTAACAACCAATCGTTGAAATGGTCTACGAGGTTCAGCTAACCATCCATTCATGCACACGATAAAGTAGTTTTACTTCATCTCGTTAAGGTGCTTTGTTGTACAACTTGGTCGTTAAGATTCATCACTTAAGTCATTAACTAGTGACTGGTTCTTGAGTTTTTTTACAAACTTTCTACAACCCTGTAAACATATTCATGTGATTAGGTTATTTATGAGTAATTTATCGATATTATTCACTTCTAGGGGCGAATGAGGCAAGATATCACACCAGTCCATTAATTTATTTACTGTTGTTGTGAGTCGTGCGTATAAGTCTATAATTCCTGAATAAAGTTCATGCAATAATTTCGATCAGTTGTTGGTGACTTTAGGTGACATAACTTAAAATTAGTTGAATTCAGTTAAAATTAGCTCATCCTATTATATCCGCATCGATTCTGACTCTCAATTTTATTCATTATTTTCCAACCACTCTATGTACTCAGTTTTTTAGCTATCATCGATTCTACTGTTATTTCGAATTCTTCTCTACATATAATATCAATTTAATCTCACCGTCTTGGTGTGATGTGATAATTTGGGTCGGTGTACATTGCATTCAGGTTGTACGCTGATTAGTCGCTGACAGACTGATATTTAGTCTACTTTTTCAGTTTCTATGATGTACAATTAAAATCACTATATTATGCCCTTCAAAATCCTTCCACTGCATTTTCATCTCATATCTAGATAAAATTTGGAAGCTTCTCATAATAGAGTATGCAGATTGTACGAATCACTACAAGTGGATCCACTGTAGTTAATAGGTGTCAATATAACGCTACAAATATAAATATTTTGTGATCAGTTAGTCATAAGTAACTTAAAATCTGATCGGATCAAGTTTCCACACATTATTAGTACACCGAGATGAAATTATCAAAACAAATGACAGTTTAGCAGAAATAGTAATAGTATTTGTAGTACTAGAAAAGGTTAGTCACAGATAATATGATTCAAAAAGACAGAGTGAATTAGCAGAATAGCAAGTATAAGTATTTTAAGACATAGTAAATTCATCTACGCCATTGCGACCGATTCTAAGCCGTGTTACTTAATGTCTTCAACCATTTGTTACGATAATTACTCGATAATTACTTCACCTACCTACAAAGCTTACTCCATCAGTTAGTGACCTCATGATCTAATACCAATTTTGACTTCGTCACTTATACAAGAATTGATCAGTTACTTGTATATAAACTATTGAATTATATGTTCTCTACTTTTTTAACCAAATAACTTTTAGTTTTAAGTTATCCTAAAATAAAAATCCAATATTTTGAATTCGTGTTCACAAACATAATTAACTGTCTAGTAATGAGCAATAACCCTTTATTTCGGCTCCCATTACCAATCTAAATCTACTACTATAGAGGAGTAAACCATAGAATTCAGTATCCTACTAGTACACAATGCTGATTTATTCATAGAAAGAACGAATCAATAGACTTTGAATCTACGTGTCTAATTTTTCATTGTGACTGACGTTTATTATATTGTTAAAGCTATTCATTAGAAGTTAGATTTCCTTTATTTTTTTAAACAAATAACCAGTGGAAAATTATTTTTTTCTCTCTTTACACTAAATTGATCTACTCCAATAACAACAAAAACTAGTCTTTATTGTATAGACAAATAGATGCTATGAATACGCTTAAGAAAACTTGGAAAAAAATATTCTTCTTATAAACTACAAGTATTAATTAAAATTAAATTACATGTATATTGAATTATTTCAAGTGATTAACACCAATCATATTTTACTTTATATTAAATATAAAGTAAAATTGAATTGTAAATTCTATATTAGTTTTGTGAAAAAGAATAATAAATAAATTATTTTATACATAGATTATGAATTGATGGATGTAATGTTATTAATCTAATGTAATTATTCTTTTTTAAATATTGTTGCTGGGTACAGGTTTTGTAGATCTATTCCCTTCATGATTATTCATTGCATTATGGGAAACTACTTTTTTTCTTCATTTAAATATGTTATACTAATATCAGACTTAATGTTTAAATAATAATACGTCAAATATTGATAACTAGTATAGAAAGAAAATTCTTTATTTTTTACACTAATCCACTATCAGAAGTTACATGGAATGCTATTGATTTCATAAAGAATTTAGATTAAGTATACTTTTTTTTTTAGACTAAATGGATTAATCAATATAAAGTCAGTTAAGTTTTCAATAACTCTGTTGGTATATTTGATTTCTTATTGTAAGAGGTCAGTGGATCATGGATGGAGTAACACAATGATAACGTATGTAATATTTATCATCTGGTAAATAATATCAATGTTATCAGAAAGCTTTTCAATGATTGTCAGTGTGATGTATACATAGTTTTATGAAACAATCGTAAAAAATATCTTTATCAAACTATGTTGAACTGGTGGCATCCTGTGATCGTTTATGTTACAGGATTTTCCTTACTTCATTTATGAGATTCCAGTACAGAATTCCTGGATTAGAACAAAATGACTATCTAGTAATTCATTATTTTTGTTTTTACTTTAGATGACATTTTCAAAACAGGAAAAAATACATCAAAATATTTCATAACACAATGATATTACTTTAATTGAGTAACTGTTACAATTGTAGTCGATTTCGATTTAAAATTCTGTTTTTTTTACTATTGTAAAAAACCTTGGTTTGCTATTCACTCAGTCAGTCAGTAACAACGTGGAACTTCGTACGTACTTACATCAGTTCGAGTTGCCACACTACATTAGCACAGAGTTGCAGTTGTCGATTCAAATCCCGTAGTGGTAGAGGGGCTAATAGTATAAGCAGTAATCGGAAACATTAGGGTTTGAAGATGTGATTTAAAGAGTATAATCCAGTGAAATAAACTTGGAAAGAGGAGAAAAAGAGACAAAGAGGATTCAGGAGATTAGAATTTGAGAGGACACAAAAGGTGGATGTACCTGCGCCATTGCAAACGATTTTGAGCCATGTCATTCAGGGTCTCTAATGGTTTGCTATTATTTCTTATGAAATAATAAATTTAGAAATATAAGCCAGCTTATTGGTCTAAAATTTGTGTATTCATTGCGATATATATGAAGATTCGGGGCTCGACTCTGTGCGGTTGTGGATCTGAACTCCTGAGGAGTTCTATGCTAGAAAGAAGCATATGTACGGTGCTTCTTAGCTCTTAGTTGTCTAATTATTGTCGATTCGTAATTCAGGTTACAAACTTGAGCAGTCTCCACAAACCCTCTGTGCTAACCATCAAAGTGTCAAATATTGTAATATCTTTTCCGTTATATTTTCGATGAAACATTCTCTCCTATCATATTACTTGAAAGTAAATCGATATCATGTTATACATTTATCATGTTTAATTAATACAACTTCTATATTAATTAAAAAATATTTTAAATTATTTTCGAAATTAATGTATTTATTTCTTAAATTCACGGTCTTGACAGTCTTCAAGCTTGTGTTAATGTACAAATTCCCAAATGGTTCAGTGGTCTCAATGGGCAAGCTTTGTTTCTAGATACTGAAGGAAACTTCATACCTGAACGTGTTCGGCAAATAGCTTCTGCATTGGCAGATCATTGTAAACATCATTATATTGAATCAAGTGAGATGGCATTTTATTACTCATTTCATTTTTAGTTAGTATTCATCATATATTGATATCATTTGAGGTACCATTGAAAATCAAGGAGCACTGAATAGTTGTTTTGTCCTAGTATCGGCCTTTCAGTTGTGTTTGTACGGGATCGAACCCCTTTCGGCCTCACAATGAACCCTGAGCTACTATGTTAGCGTCTAATGGTACAATTTCATCAAGGAGATTCATACTTGATTAAAGCAGTTGTACGTGCTCCTTGGTTTTCAACAGTATCCTGGATGATATCAGTCTATGATGAAAATTGACTGCACAGTAAACCAATTTACACGAAACCTTTTCATATCCACATTTTTATTTTTCGTGATCGATTATGCTTTTCGATGGTTTGTTTTACTGGACCCTTCAGCATTTATAGATCACAGTTAAGTTGTATTTCGAAAGATGTAATATTTAATTGAATATTATTCAGAAATTAATCTATAGGAATAACAAAAACAATAAAATTGACTATTCTAACTAATAATAAACAGTCGGTAATGTTATGACTTTATGTCCGGCTTTTTATCACGTGATTTACCCACCAATCAAAATAAGACATACAATCTTAGCACTGGGCCAAACCAATGACGTTCGACCGGTATGAGCAGGCTAGCGTCCTTATTGGTCCTATGTCCGCCTAGCCTGTCCATTTGAGTCCAGAACACCAATACCAGCTTCCACTATGCGAATCGAATCATTTATTTCAGACATACTGGGTTTATATATCAAACAAACAGACCGCAACGCACCATAAAATAGGAAATAACATTTGTACACAATAAAGCCAAAGTGACTGTGAACGTGGGAGGCAGTAGTTAATAAACTGAGTATAATTTAGGAACAGTAAATCGTATAATAATAAATTATAGGTCTAAATGAAGCTTATAATAGGAGGAATATAAATGTACATAATCTAATTATTGAATAGTTATACCATAAGAAAGTATAGATAATATTAGTCAATTAATATGTTTCGGAAGTTACTCGTGATTTAATCTTCGCTCGAATATAACAGGTAAACTTTTATGTTATTCTACACAACTTTCGCTAAGTTAACTGTTATTTTATGTGTGCTACAATTATCTTTTCATTCATCTGTCTTTCACTGACTCAATTCTCTTAACTTATGTAAACCTCTCAAATATTTTATAACTGTTAGTATTATTATGTTTATTTGTTAACAGATCCGGAAAAAACAGATGAATCTTTCATTAAACAATATTGTCCAACTGTTGAAAGTCTAATGTCTGGAATCCACTACATACGAATAACTGATCATTTGAAGTTATTAGCTGTTTGTCGACATTTAGAACAATTTTGTGACCAACATCCTTTGGTAACTTATTATTATTTTGTATATGATCTTAAATGTGTTGAATTTATTCTATTATCTATGGATGGAAGTGATTTATCTCACAAGTTAAGATAGTGTAGACTACTTTTGTATTGGAATATGCCGATGGATTCTCATGTGTCAAACGTTAAACTCAGTGCGAAACAACAACCGATTATAGTTGGTATTTTAATATTTTTTGAATAGTATATGTAGCAAATCGTGCTGATATAAAAATAACCTAAACTACTAAACAGTTTGTTTAGTGTGTCTATTTGAAAGTTTGGTTCGTATTACTACTTCTACGTGAAGTGAATAATTTTTTCCAGTTACATACCAAGTATTATTCTAATACTTCTTTAGTTCAGTGAGATTTAAGACATTGAAGTTATTCGTATTTAAATTAGGAGAAATTACCAGTTGAAATATCAAGAGAGAAAAATTTATTCGGTGAAGAGGTCCTTTACTTTTTAAGGAAATTGATCAACTCTGATATAACTGATTTTAGCCACAAATGTTTATTGATCTTAATTCAGATTCGACTGATTGTGGTTGACAGTATCGCTCTCCCATTTCGTTACGATTTTGACGATATTCCTCAACGTAATAGATTATTGGCAAGTGTAACACAAATGTTACTCTGCGTCGCTGGGCGTCAACAAGCTGCGGTAAGTCATCTCAATACTTATGGTATATCCTTGATGAATTTGTTATTCTAGTCTCATCCCAGTAAATAAATATACACTATGGTACATTGGATTATTTTGTATGATTTTTTTATTTGGAATATTTTGATTATCGTTTTAATTATCAATCTAGTTAGGAAGAGTAAATACTCAACATTCAGTGAGTGAGTTACACATATTCAGATACTGCTTCACTTATTCTTACAAATCATTCCCACAATAAGATATTATTCATGCCTTAATCACCTTGTTCTGTTAAAGTGAGGTTTAATTAAAATATAATAAGTCCATTATCACCATTCGTTAAAGTGTTTCTTCACTATTATACATTTATTTGTTTGAACTACGGAAAGGTACTTTTCTTTGCTTGTTATGCTAGAGAGGACGGCAATTACATGAAATGTTGATATGCTTGACTTGTGTCATAATTGTGCTACTCATAAGTAGGTACGTTTTTACCAAACAATTTTCATCCTTGCATTTCTTTGTTTAGTCGTAAACTACCCTTATTGATTGACACTTTTTTTTCTGTCCGGTTATATTGAACTAGCTAGCTTTGTGCCTATCTATGCTAAGAGTTGAATGTTATTGCTGAGTTAGTCACCTTCAGTGGAAGTCTTAACGTAAGCTAATTATTGTAGAACCACTTATTGTTTATGTGTGTTCATACACGAACAACTTGGAAAATCAAGACAGTTTTCTGACTGTGATCGACCTCAAGTAGAACTGATTGTCTGAATTAACGTGCATAGTTTGGCCTGGTGGTGATTACTCACAAAATAACACTTACGACTCGTAGCATCCGCCTGATAAACAGATTTGAAAAGAAAAAAAGAACTGACTAGCGAAGGAAGTAGTTTCCCAGTGAAATGGAAAAATGACATACAAAATATAAAGTACGAATAGCATGTATAGGTAATTGTCACTTTAAACGTAAACAATCGTAATGTACGGGTTTACTTTATGTCGTTTGGCAACGAGTATAATTTAAATACCCGATTACCAGGCTAAATTTTTACTCGCCATATCGAGTCGTTATTTGGTTGACTGGCCCGGTTTCGTAACTAAAACAAATCTTCGGAGATCTTTTTGCTTTTAAATCCCTCTCAATAAGTTATACATCCTTTTTACATACAAAAGATTGACAATTAATATTTGGACTTCTCAACTGTTTAACGCATTACTCGTTTGATTTATCGTGTATTATAGTGTGTTTCATCTATGTTGATGTGGATGGATTCATATGGAACAATCATGTTTGAGTGTTGACTTTAGGTGAACATCCATATCAAATGTTTGGAAATACAACGCTTTGCTAGCGTATTTTTGCTTCTCAAATAAAAATGACTTACAAAAATAGTAGGATTTCTACTTAGTTTATTTAATTCACTCTGATTACATTTAGTTTATGATTCTCAGGTTATTCTTACAAATCAAATTACAACTAAATTCGATGCGAAAAATTTGAATTCAGAACAATTCGATTGTGTTATGGAAGAAGAGAAAGTTGTAAAAGAACAATGCAGAAACGATCAAAATTCATATCTAGTACCGGCACTTGGAGATAGTTGGGGGCATATTTGTTCTCTTCGTGTTTTCTTGACACGTTTAACTACAGGTGTTCGTCAAGTAAAACTGCTGAAACATCCTGGAAGACCATATGGTGTTGGATATTATCAAATTACAGTAGGTTAACACAATATTTTCTTGGATTATTAGTGCTTGTAGTAGTGTTGAGACATAATTTTGTAGATGTAACGGAACTTTGTATTTATTAACAAACAAACACCTGTATAAAGTTATGCTACACTTATTCTTATAATTTATAAATACATTTTTATACCAAACACTTTTGTGATGGCTTCGTCAGTGATGATTGGTATTTATTGATCAAGGAAGAAATGTGATAAAGTAACCGAATAAAAACTTTTTATTCACTAACATCAAATATGTAGTGTCATTATATGGTATTGTTGTTTCTTCTAACAGTCGAATCTCACTCCATCTTACTGTTCACATTAAGAATTATTACTCCTCTTTTTGATGTATCTCATTCATGAAGTATACGTTTGGGTATATTGCTTTGAGTTACACTTTTTTTGTGAGAGCTAGTAATAGTGCGTGTTGTGAGATTCAAATCTAAAAAGTAGTTGAAAGACGAATGCTATGATCACACTAAAGCTACTGTTTCGCTATAATTTTAAGAAGTGATAGATTAAAACTAAATCGCGCACTATACATGAAAAAATCACATAATGAGAGTATTAAAAAAACGACTAAACTAGAGATCGAAGTGTGGAAAACTCAATTTATTTTGCGTATCTGTTCTCAGTATAGCAAAATTATATTCATTGGATAATTTCTAAATGCTTAAAGGTTTATACACAGTTACTAACTAATTTTTACATAGAGGGTAACGTGATGTAACGGCATGAACATATATATCTTTGCGTATTGAATTTTATATTGATGCTTTTCTATCAAACAACGATTACATCATAATTAGAAATGTTCTTTATCTCTTAATATTAATTAAAATAACAAATAGTTATTATTCAACAATAAAAACATAACATTTCTGAATAATCTACGTACTGTGCTTATTTTTCTATAAATACACTTTAATACAACATCCTCATTGTATTTTTTTTCCTTCTGTTTTCAGACTGGTGGTATTCGTGATCTTGTTCAAAACAATAAATGTAATAAACACTTGCCAGAGTAATCAGTTTTGTTTTAAAGAATACAAATAGCTAAAAAACAATAGACTATTTCATTTTTGCTTCCCAAATCACACACTGTTGACAACAAAGACATTTATTTGAGAAAAAGGTATAAAATATTTTCTATTTCTACTCTCGAGGGTCTATGCGTTTAATTTGGTGGTAATGAAGAAAAAAACCAAAACACGATTTCACACTATGTATATTTTTTAATCTGCTGATTGATAAAGGCGACTAAAGAGGTAAATTAATTCCGCTTACACATAAATATAAGATTAAAAAACAAAACCTGAGCATGAAGTACGTATCATCATCATAATTAAAAAGAATAAATAAACAAATATGGTAGCTGAAATTTTTTACATCACTAGTTATGTGTTATATAACGATCGTTGACTTATAACTTCTACCATTTCATTCAGTACACATGTAATAACTCATTGGATTGCTTGAAAATACTTTTATTAAATATATTATAATAAATATTTTTGTAACAAAAAAGGCAATTAGGGAATATTCGAAAAGTAGGGAGGCAAGAATTTAATCGACAGTTTTACTAATTTTTATATGTAGCATGTCACGGATCGTTAATTTTGACATTCAAATTAAGTAAGAATTCAAGAGTAGTCATCTATAAAAGCGGAAAGTTCTAAGATAAATACAATAACGACATACATAAGCAAATATATAAATGTCTATATCACTGATAACCAATTGATTATTGTTTCCATTAGTTCTATAAGTAAAGTGGACTTTAAAATGAACATGAAGGTCATTTCACACCAGAATAATATTATTATAATGAATGTTGATTGGGAGATAAGTAGAACAATTAGTTGTATACAACCGAATTGTGTTAGATACATAAGAACAAGAAAGTGAAATTCATTACATCAGCAAATACACACACAAAAACAAGAGATTATTTTTTATAAAAACAAAATCACTTAAATAATAATCTCTATCAGCCTGAGTTGAATTCGGCCTGGAATATCCAACTATACGTCAACTTTTTAAGAGATTCAAGAGAGTTCATCGATTAATATTAATAAATGAATCATTACTATTTAAATAAATACGATCCAAATCGAATAAAGATAAAACCACAAAAAAGCAACACGACTAGATTATCACATTTATTGAAAATAATAACTATATTGGTGTATTTCTTACAATGTAAATGTTTAATTCTCGTAGTAGATATTTCCCTTATTATTAATATATTCATTTTCTATTGGAATGAATTGCGAGAGAACAACATTTAATGGAAATAGATCAGAATTCTAAACAATAAATGTGAGAAACCCATCAACGGACAGACGACTAACGGAAAATAATAATCAAAGTTCAAATTCTTTCTGTGATAATCTCAATCTAGCTGTTTTTAGATCCGATAAACTTTCGTTATATGTAGTTGCTTGTAATAATGGCTCAGATATATCTTTCGATGAAAGTGGTTGACGTCCACCTGTTACAACTGTTGTTGTCAGTGGTTGCGCTGTAAGGTGTTGATTAGTGATTGTTTTTTGTTGACAATTTTGTTTATTAATAGATGATTGAGAATTACTAAATGAAGCAGATTTTGATTGATTATCAAGTGTGTTTTTAGATTTACGTTGTAATGTATTAATTATAACTGGATCATTTAAAGAACACATTGGTCCTTCATAAGTCATTGTTTCAAGTCGGGGTTCTGAAATGAATGTAGTTGGCTTTATAGATGTAATGTTCGAGTGTAAACGTTGTTGGTGATGTTCAAAAGCGGTGGAGAGATGTTGACTATCGAATTTAGTAAACTTCAGGTGACTAGTTGGGATTGTTTCTTTATTATCTTCCTTGATGATGCAGTTTTTATCTAAATAAAAGTATTAGAATACTAGCGTCAGAAATTAATTAAGTAATTAAATTACACGCAGAAGAATATTATCATATGTTCCGTCCGGTAACACATAAGATGGAAAAAGATCAAGCATAAGTTTTGAGTTAGTAATCCATTTTAAGCCCCCGAATCCCTGATACGGCCGAGAGTGGGGAAAATCCGCTCTCCCTCTTAAAACGCTCTCATTAGGTTGCGCGCATAAAGTCATTAGCAGGGAAATCTTACTCATTGCCTTTTCGTGGTGGGGGTGCTGTTTACTAAATTGGGAGGATGAAAAGGGGATGTCCGGAGCTTTAACCGGGTTGGTGGATACGGACGCCTACCTAGCGGCGTCGTAAAAAACCCTGATTCCAAACCAATGGTGCACATCGGCTCCAGGATCTTAAGGGAACAAATGGTGTATGAACCTACTCCTGGTCACCGGATACCATCGGGATGCATCCCGAACGTTGCTACACTACCTTATGGATTAGGCCTCTAGATCAGGATCAGGGAGTGCCCCTTAAAAAAACTACATGCTTCAATTTGGGGACCCGGATAGTATCCAAGCCTATACACATTCAAAGATTTGTATGGGGCGTGGATATTGTGGTTCCACTTTATGCTAATTTTTGTGTTTAAAATATATAAAGTGATCCATTTGAAATTAATTTACATTATGAAGTGAAGTTTAATGATAGACCATGGGAAGTTTTTCGTTACCTAGAATAAAAGTTATTCAGATGTAAACTGATATCTCAGACTCGAGACATTCGCCAGTTTAAACAAGAATCTATGTAGCGTTGAAGAATAAATACTCAAGACCAATCGAGTTTGTTGTGACAGATAAATAAATAGCCAGTAAAACTGTATTATAAATCAGTGGGAAATAAAAATATAAGGACCCTGAGCCTTAATGTTTGGAGGAGAAAATCTTATGAGAAGTAAAATAAGTTTATCAAGTAAGGGTAAACTAATGGATTATCTAATAAGAAATTCTAAAGAAACCATTTGCGGTCTGATAATGATAAACAACAAGTAGAATTTGTTGATTACTATTGGATATATTTACAGCTTGTTTCACCGTACTGTCTTAATCTTCGCATATAATATTTTAATGTATCGCATTGTGACACAAAATATAAGTATCAACTTATTAAAAAAATTAAATGATCATTAGGTGAGACGTTATCTTTTTGAATAGACTGAGTTAAATAGTCAACTTATATGTCTAGAAATTGAGAGTCCTTTAGAAAAATCTGAGTTACTGATTAAAAAACAGGTTTCTTTTAACTGAATGTAGTTCACTCCCTTGTTGTACAGTGTTTTTAAACAAATTAATGTACCTTTTCTCTCCCATTTGAAAAGTGTAAAACCATACGCTTTGGATTTTTCTACTCTGTAATCGAATACGTGTTTCAAGCCATATTTTGTTATTTTACCTTTCATCAGCTACAGAATTATTTTACGTCATGAATTAAAGGAAAGAAAAAGGGTAGTAAGTAAGAACCAATATCTCCTTTCATTCTACTGAATTTCAATGTGTTTTTTTAATTAGACAAGATGTTGTTGCTATTGTACATGTTCATCATTTTTTTCCTCTTTTGGTTGCTATTATACAAAAGAACGTTTCATGTCACTCATTCTTGAAAGGAGTGCTTTTTTGTATTTTGAAGCTTAAAATCTAATTTAACTTTATTTCCTCGAAAGAAGAATGGTTCTCATCATCAGCATAGTTTAAAAATGTATTTCTTTTTAATTATTTGGAAGTGCTGTTTACTATGGTAACTTGTTTTTATTTGAAATCAAAGTGACATTTTTGGAAGTGTCAAGTAGACCTTATCTGTCTCATAATTAATATAATATTTTTCCCCATAACTTTAGATCTAGACTTTTTCCGTCTTATTTTAACTACTAATGTGTTTATTGAGTGCGATTATTTCAGTCTGAGAGTTGCACACTGCGAGGTATATATAATCGGAGATTGACCATGGAATAGTATGTGATAAATATTACTCTTCTGTATATATTAATTTAAACAATATGGGATTCTCTCAGTATTTATCTTATTATATACTTCACAACTGTACCATTTCTAGAAATTAAAGTTGGAATTTCTCTTTTCGAACCTGTGCGGTGATATTTGTTTGCTGCTTTTGTGCTAGTGAACAAGGTGTTTTGTGAGCAAGTTGTTTTGACTCCACTGAAATTGGAAGTTGTTTTCTTAGAGGGCACTGGTTCAAAGCTGACTGTTTTTGGTTTAACTGGTATGTAAGAACCGTTTGATAGTTTACCATTGGATGTGACATTGCAGTAACCATTGGTTTGACCGTTGATGAATCCCTTATTCTCTGTGACTTTTGAATCGAAGGCTGCGAATGCAAGTAAGGGGTACGGCTTTTCGAGTCTATCACTTTGTTTTGAAGTTTCGGCTTTGTCATTTCTAGAGAAAAAAACGGAATGATAGTAATTATTATTCCTATAAGTTTTCAAAAAGAACATCCAATACAACGTTTTCCCATGCAATCACAGTTGGATACTAATGCTTTATAAATTATTAAATTAAACCAATACCTTGAAATTACAGTATAATGACAAAATTGATGTTTAAATCGAATCACATGAGAAAGTCGGGTAATAAACCGTGATATTTTAAAATTGAAAATTACAAATTAGGTCAGATTTTCAATAATAAACCAGTTTTAATGTTGTAGGATGTTTTAAATAAGGAATAGAAAACAATATTTGCAATTAGGGAACATTCAAAAAACGATTTACTCATTTCTTGGTTGAAAGTAATGTGTTGTCTAATTATAAAATACGTTTTATATCTGGTAATAATATATTTAGCACTGGTTTATAGTTAAAATGGCGAAATGAAATCAAAATTTTAAAGTTTCTGATATTTTTAAATGTAAAAAGGAAAAAATAGGTTTCTTTTAAAACCGGAACACTAGGAAAATTGATTCAGTCAATATTGATTTCTATATTTCTATGTTTATTGCATGCTACTGAAAAATAAGAAAGGATGGCTTAATGACCAAAGTATAACTCGTAAGTGCTCAAACTCTACTCAATCCACGTTAAAGGCAGTCACAATGAAGCAATTTCACGCATTCTTTATCTTTCTCCAGATTTTGAGTTTTAACCTTTTTGAACACAATTTTCAGTCTTTTCTATTATTAATGGTACATTATTTCGATGTCTTTTGCTATTCATCTTGCCATGTTAATAAGGCATGTCAACTTGGGCTGACATACATTTGTGCCAGGTCCTAAGTTGATTATGATTTACTGAATAGATCCATCAAAAAATTGTGTAGATACAAAAATTTTGTCTAGCAGAAAAACATTATGAAAAAGTAATATTTCGAAGTGAATTTCTAAAAAGGTATGAGAAGAAATTTCATACATATATAATCAATCATTATTGAATGAATAGAAAAAATAAATTCATCAGTGAATTATTTCAGCATGCAAATCATGGATGATGAACAGAAAGAAAAATGTGTATAGGATAAATTATTTTTGTATATTCACTAAAATAAAATCATTGTTTGTCTGAATAAATGAAAGAACTGTTAATTCTAACTCGATATTATCATGGAATAAATCGATCAATATATCAATGTGAATTTTATAGATGAAAATTAACCCTACTAAACAATAATTTGTTGTTATGATGATGATTACTTGACACAATGATTGTATTACTACCATCGATTACTGTTGTACGACTAGATCTTGTGAATAGTTCTGTGAAAGATGCTAGGAAACTGGAAAATATTTTTTTCAAATATGTAAATGGATGAGAAAAAACAAGTTACAAAAAGGAGTACCAAAATAGTTATTTAAAATAACAACAGTAGAATATAATATTCAAGTATGTATGAATAAAGGTTATACACCTAAGTGGATTTATTGTTGTTGGAAATGTGTAATAACTCAGTATTCGGTGGCAGTGTGGGAACTGTGAGATATGAAAGGTCATGGATTCGACCCATGATGGGTTTATTAGTGTGTACTTCCTGGGAATTCCAACGAAAAGTCCGTCCGATAAGCTATGATTTCCAACAGTTATCCATATAGTATCAGTCCCAAATTCTACAGGAATTACTTTTTGATTGTTTTGTGAAGACTTTCAAATAGGGTGAGTGAATTGATGAGGCCGATAATCTTAGTCGGTAAAGGTAACTGGCATATGTCTTACACATCACCAGTGAACACCTAGCTATAATTGTAAATTTGGTTAGCCTAGGAATGGTGTTGTAAGAAAAATATAGATCGAAAAACTAAGATATGAGATAGATCTATGAAGTTATTGACCATTTAAAAGAGCCATACTTATAGGTGTAGCCTACCTGGTTGAAGTCCATGGGCTACCCATGACCAGTGGTTGGATATAGTGGGTGCTATCGGTCAGAATCGATCACAGTAGCGTAAATTTTTATCTTACTTTCATTCTTGACTATCACTATCATTTCATATTTTTCACTTCTAGAATTCATCCCTTCCTTTTTAACAGTATTCTCTAATCCTCAGTCCTTCTCATTATTACTCATACAACTATTATTTAGATTTTGTTCAATTCTTTCTGTCAATTTTACCCAGCCGCGTTGATATGGTATGGGAACAACGTAGGCTAACAAACATTTGAACCGGGCTGTGTTGATTAAAACTGATTGACTTTCCAATGGGATATGTATATATTTGAGTCTATTAATTATTAGTCAGAGGAATAACATTATTAGATAAATAAACAAAACATTCACCTGAATAGTTGACAAAAGCATTCTGTACAATTTTTATCACATGGTTTACGTAAACCACTACTTGTATAAATAAACTCCTTTGATGTGCTCACTAAGCATCTACCAGAACGTATAAATACATAGTATACGCCAAATCCAATGAGAGGTAAAATCACAAAGAGAAGGATGCATATTACAACAAGTAATGTGTTATCCTTGATCCCTTGAAAGTAAAAAAAGGAAATATGTAAGATGAGTTTAGATAGTGGATATATAAGTGATTTCACAAAATCGGTAGTCGCCCAATTCTTACACTAATGAACAGTTAATATAAGTGTATTAATAGAAAAAATTACTAAATTAAGGTGGGGGAATTGTGCGGTTTAGTTTATTCAAAACACTTCCTCTAATTTTTATCGTCCAAGAAAATTGCATTTGCCCAGATTAGGTCTACACTATTAACAGTCTAATGATACTACTTCGTTTCTCAAAAGATAACTGAATAGAGAGAGATTATAAGCTCTTGATTTTTTTAAAAAAAGAGGACTTTATCTATTAAGCAGTTTCTCTAGTATACAAGAGTGTCTAATATAGATAGCCACTTGCAAACTGTTAGCTCGACTCTACGACACATTTCCAATATATTTTAGCTACTTAAATGGACACAAGTAGTTAGATGGAATATAATAAATTATTTGTGTAAATGCACAAAAGGATTAAACTATTGTGAAAAGTAAGCTTCCGACCAGTTACCACTTTGTTTTACTTTTTCAGCATTCTGATGCATAACTGTTTGAAACTTTAAGATGATCAGTATTCAAACGTATTAAAGTTTACTGTATCCTGCTTAAGGTAATGGAAATGGATGATTTATATCAAACTTATACAGTCAAATAAATGACAAATATATTTTCGGATATCCCAACGAGTAGAAAACTGAATTTCTGACGTTTCGTGATTTAACGTGAGTGAACAACCATGCTGATCGAGCATTAGTGGTAGAGCAAGGTGATGTGGACATTTATTTTAATTTTATGTTATTGACAAGTGACCGACTGATTTATAATTGTGAGTTGTTTGTCTTCATTTAGTTATCTGTCTACTTAAATAACAGACAAAATATTTCATTTTTCACAGATTTGTCGTTGTTAGTGTTTTTCAAAATCACGGATTATTTTCAGTTAACGCTGGACGAAATGAAAAATGGGTTATTTTCTCCTTCAGATTAATATTATCGTTTTTTGAACTAATAAACTTACTACTTATTGGAGGCGGCCCACTGTCTACACTGCCACCATTTCCATCTTCTTCACAGTAAGGTGGTTTATAACCGGGTGAACAATGACAATGTCCTAAATTATTACAAATCTGTAATAAAGGTATTTGAAAATGAAAAAAATATAGAGGAATTTAAACACACAATTCAATGGTAAAAGATGGATAAAGATGAACCGAAGTGCGAGAGGAAATCACTGATAACATCCAATGCTAGAATAGTAAATAAAACAAGCACATTGACTGATCACTAAGATATGGCTAGTGTATCATGTTTGTTTAATCATTAGTACCGACAGAAGCTTATGCATGAAAATGTAGATCAAATGGCTCAATAGTAACGCCTCAGGATTGTGAAACTAAATGATCCAGGTTTGAATCCCTAATGATTTTCTGAAGGTTGTGTGCGTGCCTTCTTGACGAATGGCAACCAGTATGAAACTAAGGTCTATGGATCCCTACCAACTGCCTACAACCATCTAACAATAGAATAAACGGTGTCAAATTTTCTTAATGCAGTATAAGCACATAAATTAAATGTTTTGAGTTATACAGACTATTTAAAAGCTAGAGGTACTTAGTAATCGACTGTTTAAACTGAAAGGTAAACGAAAAGGTTGCTAAACAAATGAAAGTCCAATGTTGAAACTATCAAAAAAGACTCAAAACTGATGACGATGGTAGATAATTATCACCATTATATTAACAAAATAGTAATCTTATGTAACAAGCATTTTGTAACCGACACAGAAACTAATTAAGATTATTTTGAGCCGTTAATATTTATTTTATTACAGCCAAAAACATCTGTGATGGAACAGAATACATGAAGATGAACGAATGAATCGATGTTGACTAAAGTAAAAGTAAAGCTTGTAAATAAAACATTGTTTCCGAATTGATTTTAATGGCGCAGATGTATTTACTATTCATATTCACTTAGAGTCTAAAGTTTTAAAATTATATTGTACTTTTTATTCCATGAAGTTATAATTCTCAAGTCACAGGCATTCATATAAATGTCACTCCACCAACGATCGAAGAAATCAGGATGACCATCAGACAAATCAAGGGTGGAGAAGCAGCAGGACCTGACAACATACTAGCTTAAGCACTGAAGTCAGACATCGAAGCAATTGCAAAGATGCTTCACAATCTATTCAGGAAGATTTGAGATGAAGAGCAAGTGCCGATAGACTGGAAAGAAGGAGACTTCAGCAAATAAGAGAACTATAGAGTATCACACTACTATCGGTACAAGGAAAAGTTTTCAACAAAGTACCACTGAACCGAATGAAAGATTCAACAGAAACTCAGCATCAAGATCAACAAGTTAAATTCCTTAAGGATCGGTCGTGCACAAACCAAATCGCGACATTACAGATCATCATTGAACAATCAATTGGATGGAACTAGTCACTATACATCACCTTCCTTGGTGTTCCTGAGAAGATCGTCAACCACATCCGAAATTCATATGACGGACTACAATACAAAGTGGTGCATGGAGAACAGCTAACAGCTGTATTTCAAGTGAGAACCGGAGTCAGAAATAGCTGCTTACTCGCTTCTTTTCTATTTCTTCTGGTGGTTGACTGGACTATGAAGACCTCGATATCTGATGGGAAGCACGGAATACGATGGCTATTTCGGATGCAACTATACGATTTGGAATTGGCAGATGACCTAGCTGTTCTATCTCATACACAGCAACAAATGCAGGTGAAGACAACCAGTGTAGCAGTAGCATCTACAGTAGTAGGCCTCAGCAGACACAAGGGAAGAAGGAAGATACTGAAATACAACACAGAGGACATCAACCCAATCACACCTGATGGAGAAACTCTAGAAGAGATGAAACTTTAACGTGTTTAGCCTCAGTAATATTTCGGCATCTAACCAGAGCTCATGAAGAGCCTGCTCGAGAAAACTAGTCTGGTTTTAAACCTAGACGTGGACGTATAGACGAAAAAAATTATTCCTTTGGCAAGTTATAGAACACAGACATACTTTTCGACGTCCAACTATGGGTGGGTTCCTTGACCTTAAGACGGCGTTCGACTCTGTTAGTTGTGAGGTTCTATGTCAGTGTCTACCACTGAAGGGTGTACCAGAGAAGTACATTACCCTGTACAGGCTCTCTACTCGTAAACTGGAGGAGTCGGAGTTGATGGTGAGCTGTCATCGGCACCGGTTACTTCAAGTGGTGTTCATCAGGGTTGTTCGCTTTTCCCATCTTTATTTAACTTTTTCATAGGTGTGATTTTAGAGATAACACTTTCATCATCTGATTTTTCAGGGATCGATCTTCTATCAAGAGATTCACTTGCTGACTTGGAGTACGCAGATGAAATAGTTCTGTTTGATGAAGAAGCTGACGAAATGCAGATTCTTCTGACCACCTTAAGCAATAATGCAAGCATGTTCGAAATGTGGTTCTCTCCCTCCTAATGCAAAATATTACTTCATGATTGGTTTACGTTATCACCTGAATTAATAATAGAGAATGAAGTAGTCGAACGCATCAACCGCTACACTTATTTTGGGAGTCTCATCAATACTGATGGTTTCAATCAGTCACAAGGTAGGACCAGGAACATACGTGCATCGGTTCAATTTGCCATACCGCATTAGCACAGCAAGATGAACACCGGATTCATAGTAGTCAATTCAGTGGTGGTAATATGTCAAAGAAAGATTGCATATAAGGACATAGTACAGGAAGAAAGAATTAGTTCGTAGAAAGACATAAACAAAAATGGAGGAAGTGGACAGCCTCGACGGACACCACTTGAGGTTGCAAAAGTAGATGACAGTTCGCCATAAGCCCTGACTCGACTAGTAGTGTTCGAGTAAAGAGCCTTCACAAGGTTTATGTACTTCTGAGGTACGCCTTTCAATGACAGACACTGCCACAGAATCTCGCGGTCTACAGAGTCAACTGCTGATTTTAAGTCAAGAAAGACCACCACTGTCAGACGCCGATAAGTGTGCCTATGTTCTAGAACCTGACGAATGGTGAATATGTGGTCGATGCAGCCACAACCAGGTCTGAAGCCAGCTTGATTCTCTCGTGTTTGCAATTCACGAGTCTTAGTTAGGCGCCCAATAATTATTGAAGCTAGTATTTTAGATGCTATATTAGTTAGACTAATCCCTCTATGGTTGTCACAGGATGATTTTACCCTCTCTTATATATTGGAACGATAAGTGATTGTGACCAGCCAGATGGGATAACGTCTAACTCCCAGTTCTTAGCTAAAATATTAGTCAACCTAATCGCTAAAACCGGACCACCATCCTTAAAGACCTCTGGAGCCAATCCATCTGGACCAGCTGCCATTCCTCGTTTCAGACTAACTGTAGTCTTTTGAACTTCAGCTAGAGTTGGGGGACCTACTTCAATGTTCCATTCACACTGTGTGAGAATGGAGGGTAGTTGTAGAGTAGCTGAAGGCCAGCTGAACTGTTCTCTGAAATGTTTCGCCCATCGTTCTAAACGTCTGGACTGAGAGCAGATGAGGGTGTCGTCCTTTTCCGAAATAATCTCACTTACGCTTGACTTATTAATTCCAGTTGCTTTTATTAGTCTGTAAAGCTGTCTTGTGTTCCCTACAGTCGCCGCCTTTTCCATCTTTTTTGCTTTCGTTGTCCACCACTGCTCACGGTCGTTTCTTAGACTTTTTCTTAACCTAGATCTGATTTGTTGTCGCTCTTCATCATGTTCGGAACCTGTTGGGACGAGTTTGCGAGAATCCATCAATGTGATAGACCTTGAAGAAATCCACTGGTTCTTTGTAACCCTGTGGTTTAAATCACTGATAGATGTCACTGCTGTTTCCACAGCTGTTTGTATATCTTTCCAAGCAACATCTGAGCCAGTCTCGTTTTCAGAACTACCTAATTGTGATTTCAGTTGTTCCTGGAACCTACTTTCGGTTTTCTCGTTACTTAGTTCACTTCTGATTAAATCTCGAAACCGATTCAGAAGGCTCTATTGGCTTTTATCAACTTGCTTCACTTATGGCGTAGGTGAGAAATACGTCTCCCGACCAAAGGGGGGGGGGAGTTTACTGTGTAACAGTTTGTTCTATTTTACTTTATTATTTTGTTAAAGGCCATTTAGAATAGAGGATAATCGTATGTTACTGGTATTCGATCATAGGCATCTACGAAGCGTTGCTCATGTACTTTGAGACCATGGAGGCAGACATGAAAATAATAAGTAGCAATTGAAGACAACTGGAAAGGAGAGCTTAAGACAGAGTTAGCTGGAGAATCCTGGTTGGCGGTCTATGCTCCACGAGTGGTAACAGGCGTAAGGAAGCATTTTTTCGAAAACAGACGGCACCCGTCGTTAGATAATGGAAAATTACTGCTCCTACTTGAATAATTTGAAACATGGATATCATGAGCTTTAGCGAATTGAAAAATTGTGGTTAGCTGTGAAATCGAGAACGAGTGTTTTGTCCTATTTGAGGCTGGTAGGCTGATTGTATGTGCCTGCATCCTATTGTTGATGTTCACATTAGGATTTAAACACAGTGTCTTTTTCCCGATATACATATCACGAGAAAATCAACAACACAATAAAGAAATGATTACATAATGTTTTTTACTTAGTCCAATGTGAAATAATATTTTAGGATCTCGTTTATTTGTCTACAAGAAAGCGAATATTTTTTTATGACATGACTAAAGAAAGTTTTAAAATAATCGCAATAATATTATTACTAATAATAATGAATTTCGATATTGAATTTATTTATCTACAAGCAATGAACCATGTTGTATAATATTTTCTTTTCAAAAAAGAGTAATATCTAACTAACAATAAACTTACGCCACGACCATTGCAATAACATGAATACAGTGGACGAACATTATCGATTGTTTTACAAGTACCATTGTAACAAAACTAGAAAAGAACAATCAAAGAATGAGATATCTGGTCAATATTTCTGAGAAAATAAGCATAAGATATGATTTATATTATTATTCGAGTATTGAACTTACGAAGTTTCTCAACTGTATCACCAATCAGAAAAGAATTTGGAAAAAACCAATGCACTTTTCGATACATTTGTTAAATATGATTTCAATGTCCTTCACATCACCATAAAATGATGTCAACTCAGATTAATTGTTTACTTACTTGATACACAAAAGCAAGTATAAATGGGCACCAAAATAGTAGATAAGGGTCACAACAAATAAGGAAATGACATCGTAAAGAAATGAATTGGAAATGAATACAATAAATGAACAAGAAAACTGTGTAATAGGAATCACAGTTCAGCTAAAAATACAAACAAGAAACACTTCTCCTGGTTAAGAGAGTTCCTTCCACTTTTATAAAGAGTGTAGAGGAAAAGTAAAACAGCATCGTCAATGTCTTCTTTTGTGAAGTATGTCTCATAACATCTTAAGCCATTTGGTTGTACCATTTGTAGGACATTAAATAGGGATTACTTTCATATCATGGTGCTTTGTCGAGAACTGACCACTTCTTCACATTTTCCACCTCCTCTAAGCGTTACCAAATAATCCTTTATATTGAAGCTGCTGTGATTATATTCGTACAACAGGTGGTCACCGAAGATGGTGCTTCAAAGCGGAATGTGTTAAATAAGTTAGTCTATGCATATCAATAACAATATGTATGGAAAGGAATATATATATATATATATATATATATATATATATATCGGGCTATGTAATGTAGAAAGCTTATACTTGACTTTGGAAACGCCCGGTCCCATCGGATCATCAAATTTGAGCAACGTTGGACTGGATTAGCGCTTGAATGGGTGACCGGCTGGGAGTGTCGAGTGTTGCGTGATTTTAAAAAGCTGAGCGATGGCTCAGTGGTCGAGAGGTTTTGAGTTTCAGCTACTTATTTCCAAGTTCGAACCTCACTCCACCCCACCCACACAGTCTTGAGCTGTGTGTGACACAAAGCTAATTACGTAAGGCTTTAATCTGGTACGTGAATTGACTACATATTACTTGGCATGGTTGCAACCGACAGTTCCTTGGTAAAATGAACTTATGTATTAATTTAATGGAATTCACTGTTTTCAGTAATTTGAAAAAAAAACTATGAAATATTGCAAAAAACAGGAAATATTCCAGTGTACAATGGTTTTTGATAACTTATTCGTTATGCTCTACAGTTATAAATCTAAAAATATTGTTACATTAAACAAAGTATTAAGGTATGTATCTAAATGTTCTGGTCAAATTAGTCAGTGTTATAAATTGGAAATATCCGAATTCACATCGATTAGCTATTAAATGCTAATGAAACGCATTTTATTAAAAATAGAAATAACTTTTTAAAATACTTGGACAATAACTTATATTTTTCTTCCTTTCAGCTTTTTTTATACATAACGGTTCAGTTTTAAACATCTTGGTAAACAATGGCTCAATACAAATTTACACAACATAGATACATACATCCTAAACAGTTAAAGTAAGATTTTCAGTGCCTCGAGATTTGACTCTAATTTGGACGAACGAATAAATATTCCATGAACATAAATCTTCCGTTTAACTCCGTATATTAGACCTAGGATAACTCCGTTTGAGAGATGGTGTAAATAAGAAGATAAATACGGATGTATTTATTTCAGACTTTCGTTCACTCAGAGATTAAGATGAGAAGCAAGGAGACAGGGGGAAAGAAGCCGATAAGGGAAGTATACCAAATCAATTTGATGTAGCTTGACTCACTATTTTTAGCCAGACGAAAATAAGCTTAAGACATGTGATGAAAAGGGTAGGCGATAAACACATACGCCCTTATATAAGAACAGTTAAGGTTATAAGCGAGTAATCGATATGGTAAAAATATGACTCCCGTATATAGATTAATCTGTCTAAAAGCTTGAATAACTCAAGTAGGCTTGACAGAGAACTGGACACTACATATTCATCAAGTTTACAGGCTGACTTAGATACGCAGGTGAAAACGTTAAGGTTTTAGTTGCACTAACCATTTGAAATATAATATTATGTACGTAACAAAACAATTGCTTATCATTGTATACCAACATCGTGTAAAAAACATCATTACTTTTTCTATTGGGTTTGATGAATTCTTTTTATTCGCCTCTTACCCAAGTTATCAATATCATGCTCATTTTAGATTTTTGATTTATACCTCTTAAAAAACAGTAATATTCAAGTTTAAATCAGGCAAAACGTTGAAATTACATAAGATATAGTTTTGTCGCTGAGATTTTAACCTATGGGCGACCTTTGAGCGAAGATAAAGTGATCTTGAGAAAACTCACCAACTTAATAGGATCAAAAGAGGATTATCGATTAGTGTAAGGAATCAGAAATAGAATGTAGAGTTAGAAATTGGGTTGTAAATTAGGATTAGGGTTTTCAATGCGAACTGGCATTAGCTATAACATCAAAATGTTATTTAACCATATTGATAAATGAACTTGGCACCAAAATCCAAGACTTGCTATCTTTAATTTCATTTGTTAGTCTACAAATTATGGTTTTGCCGAAACATCTGTTAGAATATAGTCATATTGTGGTAATGAATCTTGAGCTGAGATAACGTAACATAAATAAGGGCATAACAAAATCTTAGAATGAAATGTTCCAAGTAAAGATGTATATATGAAGGTATTTAACTGAGTGATTAAAAAAAAAACATCTCTGAGTGTTTAAGTTCAAATTTTTCGGTCAGTTACAATCAACGTAGAAACTGGCACATATGTGGGTTGACCTAAGTTTCAATGCTATATAAGCACAACGCGATGAAATTAACAAAATAAGTAGGAAAGGAGGGTAAATCACGTCGTAGTAATAGTAATAAGAAAGAATAACAACTGAGAATATCGTACGAAAATGTGGAAATAAAAATATGTACGAAAGAGTAGTAAAATTTATGATTTAGAGAAATGTGAAGACGAATACATCAGGGTTGTTTTGATAGGTTTTAAATAAAAGGTCACAAAACGTCTCCAATCTGATAGTGTACACTTGTAAACATGGCTCAGACCAATGACTATGTGGGCTGATCTCACATCTTAGTTTGATGTCCCCTCGGCTTTCATCTACAGTACTTCTACAACAGCCAGGATTGCACGAAGAGGTAGGAGTCAATGAGAATTTCCAACCTTACCAACTAACTTAATTTTGATGTATCGAAAGTGGATGTAAAGAATACTGTAAAATACAGAAATAAGATTATGTTGGCACGTTCACAACATTGATTTAAAAAACGCACTAAAACGTTTACTCTTATTTCACTCAAAAATTTTCTATACACCTAATTCTTTCTCGATAAAAATTGTTTCGATCCATACAAATATATTGATACATGGGCTGAAAACTGTTATATCCTGAAGTACGTCAAATACCATGTCAAAATCGATATTCAAAATACCAACTTCTATGGCATTGTCTCTGTGCTAAACCAGTGACACACCAACCAGCACTAGCAGTCTTCAGTCAACTCGCTTGACCCTGCTCGTTGAGTCCAGAACACAACATCCCCCTCCGCTGTATGAATCATATGCTTCAGACATACGTGGTTTATATACAAGCAGACTAGACCACATCACACCATCAAGTGAAAATAATAATTATACATGATCAAGCCAAAAGAGGCTCAGTATAAAAGATTGTGGACAACAGATTGGGAATAAATTAAGGATGGTAAATCGTATGCTAGTAGTTAATGGGTCAAATGAAAGCTTATGGTAAAAGGAATATGAATATATGTGTAATCTAGTTACATAATAATTATCTGATAAGAATATACGTAGTAATAGTCTATTAACAATTCCCAGCAGTTACCATTCATTTATTCTTTGTTCGGACATGACACTTCACATATAGAAACATAGCTCCTGTTCCGTGAAGGTAATAATAGGTAGGACTTACCTGACAGGGGTTATAAACTGCATGAGAATGGACTCTCCTCTCTCTCGACAATACCAGGGTATTTGGATGCTAAGTAGTAATCAGTAAAAATCATACAAATTTCCATAGTTTAAGTGTCGAACCGAATGTTTCCCTCTTTCTCCAGTACTATGTACATACTCTTGGTAATATATAACTTTGTCGTTTATCCAGGTTTACGAGCACTTACTAGATATATATACCCCACAAGTAAGATAATTATCTACTGTATTAATAACCTAAACTCCAAATTTTCATTTGGTGATAGAGAAACTATGTTATTGTGGCTACAGGATCTTGCCCCAGCATTAAACCAGCTTTAGAACTTTATTCAAGTTAATGTTCTAAGCCCCTATGTATGATTGAAAACTACCCAACCATATATATATATATATGAAACAATCATTTTGTTAACCAATTTAAGGAGTTTGTTCCATTCATTTAAGATAAAGTCAATTTACGTGTAGGCACCTAAACCTGAAGGTCAGTGATGTTGCACAAGAAAGATTAACTTTTGAATCAATAAAATTCAAACAATTGAGTGCGTAAATCTATGGATAACTACAGTTAATAGTAATAATAGTATTTTGAAAGATATTGTTATAACGTTATTAAACTTACGCCTCGAGAACAAGGTGTCCCATCAGGAACCATCCCAGCATCTTGTGTATTTGCTGAATAAAGTCCAACACCTGCACCATTCGCATTAATTTGAACTAATTTGTTCTCGTCCCAAGTGGTAGGATCTGAAGCTGGCCAAACTGGATCATAAACTAGTGCGGAACATGATCGACCAGATGAGTGAATAACACGTGTTTGTGACTGAATCCAACCAAGAAGCATAGCTTTTCATTTTGATGATGACACCATAATCGTCCACAGGACGTATCATGCCTGAATGAAAGAAAAAATTCTCTAACTTGGTGGAGAAATGAAATAAGCTAAAATGAACATTGAATATGAAATAAGTACAAGTTAACGAAGAATTTTTTCGACATCACTTATTGATACTATACGATTGTGCCTACAGTGATGTAACAAATATATCGGTCTAAAGAAAAATAGAACGTGATAAAATCATAAAGTTTTCTAGGATTTCAAGCCTTGAATGACTTTGGATACAAAACTTAATGTAGTAATAGTAGTAGCAGTACACAAAATGTCAAGATACATATTGAAAGCTTGATCCGGTGACCGTTATAGTATTCTTTTTATAACAATATAGCCTCAATGATTTACATATATCTTATTGCAAAACTAAGGAAACAAAGTGGATATAGACGAATTGGTATGACTCATAGTTTTCGACACAAACACTTAGCGAGAAAAACAATTCACCACTACATTCCTTGTTTGACCTGTACGGAGATGAATAACGCTTCGTTCTGTAGGGAGTGATATTTCCACTATAGGGGTGGACCAATTCGAATAAAAAGCTTACGTTCTAGTTTTAACATGGAATTCAAAAATAGATGACTTTTATCGGTTTGAGTATACTTTGAAGGCAAATTAATCATGATTGAGAACATGACTTCTAGGTTTTTGTGTGAAATTCAAAAATCATGAATAACTAGAAGCAGAAATACTTTTGTATACTGTTCAGAATGATAATGAGAAGTGATTCTTTGGAACTAAAGAGCGAAATTAGCATTGTTAAACGTATCAAATAATTGATTCTGTCTCTTGAGATTGTACAGAACAGGGAAGTCGGCACTAAGCCTAAATTTTGACTCCAAACCCAATCTTGAAACAGACCTTAACCAACTGGCATAACAGTTGATAAAAGAACTAATCAAATAAGGCCTCTTGAATTCCTGGACGAAATTCACCAATCCATATGGCTATAGAGCATGTTTTCATAATAACTGATGTCAATTTACGATTAGAGTTCTAACCCTTATCCCTTGATCCTATTGATAAATACCTGACCATTAAACTCTCATAGATTTAATTCCTTCCGTTGTGTTATAGTTTGATCAATACAAACAATCCGGCTTTTGGTTGAAAAGTGGCTTCAAAATCACGCTGTCATTTTAAGGTCCTGTTAAGCTCGTCCACATACTCTTATATCTTTACAGAACATTCGAACATTATTTCATACCTATTATAACTTGTGATCGCCGATTAGAGGGCAGTGACTTATCAATTGGACCAATGACACGTAAAACACGTGCGAGCAGTCTAGAGTCTTGATTGGTCCAGCTTCCCGCCTAGCCCAGCCAGTTAAGTCCACATTACTAATCCGAGCCTCTGTGATATGAATCATTATATATTTCAAACATAGTTTATATCCCAATCAAACAGACCACAACGTACCAATAAAATATGAAACAACATTTGTACAAGAATTAGCCAGATGTGGCTGTGAATGATGGAGGCAGTGACTAATAGACAGGGAATAATTCAAGAATGGAAAATCGTATAATAACAGTTCATAGGTTAAATGAAGCTTATGATAAGAGAGACATGAATATGAATAGTTTAGTTAATTAACAATTATACGATAAAAAATATACGTGTAGTACTGGTCTACAAATGGATCCCAAAATTACCATTCATCGTTCTTTTCGGGACATAACAATACCCAACCAAATTTTTATCCATGTTAGAGGAGAAAATGAACATCCCTAACAGATAAAAATAGCCCGTACCAATCGAAATATATCATTATTAATAATCTATATCACAGATATGGTAGAGATTTGTAGTTCAGGTGGGTGAACTCAGAAAATCAACTGCGTACATACTTTATTCAACAAGGCGAGGACACACTGCAACACAGTTGTAAAGCGGGAAAATGAGGAGAAATATCTAAAGCCTATCTTTTAAAAGAACGGCTAACCAATCAACTTAATCAAAAAATATCAACCAAATGCATAAGCAAAACGAAATCAAGTACAAAAACCAACAGACGCATCATGCTGCCATATATAAGGGATATGGCAGAAATTGCAATCAGATTGTAGAAGCCTTTTGGAATAGGTGTAGCAACAAACCAACAAAATCGCCTCAATCAATCCTATGCAAACAAAAGGACGAAATGACAAAAGAAGAAAGACCGAACATCGTCTGCGAAATGAGTTGCTCCAACTGCGAAAAACACTACATCGGACAAAGTGGACACCTCCTTCATCTTCGCCTGCACGAACATCAATTATTGGAGAAAAGCCATGACGTATCCTCGCTTATATCAATGAATGTGGACATACATTCGACTAGAAAACATACTGAGATATTGGATATTGGAATTTCTATAAACTCCAGAGAACTTTTATAAGCTTGCCAGTTAGGTCAATGAGCAATCGACAACCAACCAATCAAAAAAATTATAGATAAATATAGGACCAAGAATCAAATCACTGAGAAATACAGTCAAAACAAAGAAGTGAAAATGATAGGTTAAAGGTCAAAAATAACCAATCAAGGTCGAGGTCTGTAGGGCAAGATGTGAGTCATATGTGGAGAAATTCGAACACTTCACTTTTACCTGAAGTTTGTTCTGATAATGTTGTTCAGCCGAACGATGAAAGTTCCACGACCAGACCATCCAGCTTCACCAAAATCTTAGGCATCTAACAATTGTGAATTATTTAGATGGTTAAACCACTCACTTTAATCAAACAGTAGTTTATGCTAATTACGTCATGCATTTTTTAGAAATTTCTTTTCGAGAAATTGGAAATGAGCGACACAAAGTGACTCAAAAGATGAAGATTGGACGATATCACGCAGTAGATGAACTTGTCATTGTTTAGTTCAGGGACAAATTTATAGAAATCGGTGCTCTGATGGGTGGTTTTGTCACGTGATAATTTTTGAGAGGACATGTCATAAAATAATGTGGTAATCCTAAAAGACACCACAGTACTCCCCACCTTGCTTATGTATAAAGTTACAATTAAAACCGAAATCGAGACATTCTTATAAGTAGTCATTAATAGCGAAGCGACGAAAAACTGATCAAATGGAATCTGGAACTTAATAAATGACATTCATATCCGTAGGAATAAACGACCTACAAGTTTGTTCTAAATCTCTGACATATATTTTTTAAGACCAATCTACTCTTAAATTGCAGTAAAACCAATTAAAAAGAATAACGAATTACAAGAAAAAAAGGAATATAATGAACTACCAAAATTACCATGTTTCACAAGCTATTCCTGTCCACGTTTTTACATCTTCCCATCGATTTTTAGATAATGGTCGGTGTACGCCACAATTTGCTACAGAATCGACATTAGATTTTCTACTCTTTACTTCATTTTCATAAAAGCAATATTATCAGCAAGTCTGGCAGTTTTACCCCATAATACACGACACCAACCATCTGCTTCACGACAACCACCACGAATACAATGAGCCTTTGATAATGAAAAGAAATCGACAGAAACTAATTATAATTTTTTTAAAAAAATCAAGCATTGTGTTCTGGAATAACGATTAAGCAATGGCAAAGGAGAAATCCAAAATACTTTGTTAACATTTTTGTCAGTTCACACATCAGGTAAGTATGTGATGTAATGTAGATTTTTTGGTAAACAAGGTAAAGGTGTAATGAAATGTTGTTTTGCTACCAAAATACTGAAAATACCTTAATTAGTGGCTAAGATGCTTAATAGAAAACAAAGTAGCAACCAATTTACACTCAGAAACAATCATATAATAAGAATGATGACAACAGTGGTGCATCGATTGATTTCAATGAGAATTCCTTCAGAAAATTATTTCATAATGACGATGGTTAGATTTGTAGAGTAGAAAAAAGAAGGAATAACGGCCTAAGGCGACTTACCAGCCAATCAGGAAACGCTAGATTGTTTAAAAAACAATTAACAATAAAAAGCAATAAAATAACAGTGAAATAACATCTTTTATCCAAATAATTAACCCAAACATCCCAAATTATTCTTTGCAGTAAAGGATAGTGTTCCGAGTTATGGTTATCACCCTATGGAATCTTCATTACTACAAAACATTGGTTACACTCTACAATAACAACAACTCAATGACTCATAAAAACACCTGTAGACAAATTCCTGAAGAGCGAAAACGCTGCACGGAAAAATACTTGATGATTGCTTTCGAAAGGACGGCTACCCACCAAACTCGAAAAAATATCAATCGAACCCAACAGCAAAAACCAAATGGAATAAAAAAAACCAACAAACGGATCATCCCACGATATATAAAGAACAAATCAGAAGTTACAAAAAGATTATTGATGGAACTCAGATCAATCAACATTCAATGGACACGTTGAAATCGATCCAATTCATACACCAATTAGAAATATCATGGATAAATATATGATTAAGAATGAGGTGAAAGAGGGAGACAATCAAAATAAAGATTCAATAACAGGATACAGATTAATAATAAACAATCAAACTCAGGGTCTGCAGCATAAGCTGTGAGTTATATGTGCAGAAATTCGAAAAGCTCATTTCTACCTGAAGTATGCGCTAACGACGTTATTCAGAAGAACAACGAAAGTTTATCAATTAAATCATGTAGCTCAGAGAATGAAACCCTGTCAACAAATAGTTAACTGAAATCTATCTTTATTGTGTAACTCAGTTTTTTACCTAATAGTTTTCTTTCAAAGCATGAACCTATCACCAATTTGTGAGGAATTAAAATCATACATAAAATCTACATGATTGATCGAACGAATAACTAACTAAATTCTATTAAAATGAACTGATTCTTATTCATTTGGATATTATCTTGTTTTTAAACCAAGTAATATCTAACATTCAATTAAAACCGAGTATCTGTGTATTTCATGTGAATAGCATCATCCGTTCTAAAACTAATGGATTTCTACAAACTAAATTTTGTACAGCTATTTTCGACACCACGATTATTCTAAGAGAAATTTGATTGGTTGTTTATTTTCTTGTAGGGATTTTGAGTGGTCAGTGCTACTAAGGACCGTAATTGAGGAATTTTCCACAACTTCTCTGATGCCATACTCATAATTAAAGGTTACAGAAAGAAAAGCTTTTTTAAATATTGTTTTGGTGAATAACCACTTTGAGTTTAATCTCCTTGTTTAAACAACTCAAAACTGCAAGGTATATTAATTAACTTAATTGAAACAGCACACCTAGTAGTAAATGTAATCAATTACCCACTAAAATTTATGAAATCGGTTCAGATTCTCAACCTTAGTTTAGTTTTTAATCAAACACGTCATCCATTTTTTCGCAATGGTGATTGAAAGGAAAAAAACAGAATTATATCCATACATATAATGACTAAAACACTTTTGATTAATAGGAAATTCTGAAAAAATACGTTTGAGGAAACAAGTTAAAAATATGCAAATGTACGACGTGATCCATATGCATTTTAAAATAACCGGTATGACAATAAGGACTGTATGGACAGCGTATTATCGATCGAACCAAAGACGCGTAAACACGTAAGAACGGCCTAGAGTCCTGATTGGTCCCGCTTTCCTGTCTAGCCCAGTCAGTTGAGTCCAGAACGCAAGTCTCAGCCTCTGAGATATAAATCATTGTATTTCAAACATACTCTGTTTATATACCAATCAACCCGACCACAACGTATCAATAAAATAGAAAATAACATTTGTACAATAATTAGCCAGAAATGGCTGTGAATGAGGGAGGTAGCGATTAACAGATAGGGAACAATTCATGAATGGTAAATCGTACAATAATAGTTCATAGGTCAACGTAAAGCTCATAATAAGAGGAGCATGAATATGAATAATTTAGTTACATAACAATTATACGATGAAAATATACTCATAATATTGGTCCATAAATGGATCCCAAAAATTACCATTCATTATTCTCATCGGGATACAACACTGATAAATACCGAACCTGAACTTTTCAATCAAACTCCGTTAAAATTTGGTACTCTATTTGTCTATGAGAAGAAATTACCAATCACTAATTCATTAAATTGACTAATTTTCAAACAAAAAATATCACTGCTTCATTAAAGTAACTCATTAACTAAATGTTTTTCCTTGTAATTGGTGGGGCTTTAGGGTATACTGTTTATATGATGGCTATTGATACTACTACTACTATTACAACTATTACTATGCGGTTGTGGAAAGTGAATAGGGTATAATAAGGTTCAAATTAGCGACATATATGTTAAAAATTGGGTGGTCTAATCACTAAACAATTAATGCCTAACTCTTATAAGATAAATTTTACCACAGGAGACTTGGAAAAACATACATAAACAAATAAATGATTGATTGACTGATCAGTTTGAAATATTTTGTTTTCTTTACCCCCCCCCCCACAAAAAACATAAAGTTCTGCTAATAACAGAAACCAATTGGTATGAAAAGTTAGCACTGATATGACCATTCATTGTGTATCAGCAGGGACTACGCTTATGTTGTTAATGCTTAAAGTACAAAATAGTTTAACCATCGATCAGGTTAATTATTAGGCAGATAAACATAAATAGAGGGAAAGAATAAAAATAGGACACAAGTCAGTTCTTGTTTGTGTTACTGTGATTATATTACTGTTATCATCCTTGTTATGACAAATGTTGTTGTTTCTTTTCATTTAGATAGAGAAGTGGACCAGGAAAAATATCACATAACAAGCATACCTGGTTTAACATTGATGGCTAAATTTGTAGTAGGTAATTCGTCGAAGATTGATGTCAGTTGAGACATTATTAAAAAACAGGGAGCACCAACACGGTATAAAATTAATCAGATAAAGTTTTTAGAATCCATACATCGATAATAAATTACTGTGCCTACCATGAGACGAGTTGCTGAAGTTTAAGTAAGAAGCTGTGGCCGGTAAAGTTCAGATATATTACGAGAGAAACAGTAACCAACAATGATATTGGATGATTGTCGCACTATATTATGAATTGATTGTAGTTGGATATGTGTATCGTTGAGTGTCGATTCAATAACATAATGGTTGAGGGCTTTCAACGAAAACTGTGAGTTAGACCCTTGAGAGGAGCTGTGGGTGTTTATGCTTGAGATGTCCAACACTAAGATCATATAACTGTCTAGTACACATTGGTTCTTATTAATAACCTAATTGATATTAATCTGTGACAAAACTCCTTCAACAGTTATTAGGACAAGAAATAAAATGGAATGGATAACTGAATATAGAGAGAAGCAAAAAAGACAAACATAAAAAAACACGATTGGAAAAATAACAAAGAGAGCATTAAATTATGTAGATTTCCTGTAATAATAATTTTTGGCAAACAGTTCAACTGCATTGTCAAAAAAAGAAATCAAGTCAGCGTGTTACATAATCACTGTAATTTATAATTTCAAGTTATAGATAAAACTCATAGCATATAGAAAATAAATTCACCAAACAGAATAAACTGTTTTATTGAGTATTCATTTCTTAATACAATCCTATAATTAATTTTAAACTGTTCGAAATATTGATGAACGAACATTGTTCACTGTTAGAGATTTGAAAATACTATGAAAAATTTATTGAAAGTAATACATAACAGCATTATGACATAAATGTAATTCAATTATAGTTATTTAAATTATTACTAATATGTTGAAAAAGTAGTTAAAAATGCGAAACTTTGATAATGATCAGTCAAAAAAGCTTCAATTTGCAGAGGGATTAAGATATCACCTAGGACTGACGAACGGAACGAAAGTCAGCGATACAACAATACGACAAGTTAAGCGATTCCTCTGAGCGCCAGCCCGGCTAACGAGATGAAGAAAACCACATTTAGCCAGGAAAATATATAACTGTACAAGCACACCGGAAGAACGAACGAACAAGTGGGGGACCATGAAAGCTCGCTGCTAAAGAGTCACATACCAGGACGAAACAGTCGTGCAGTGCTTCCAGGTTTTCAATAGTGGTCTATATTAGATCGACTCGTGAATTCAACTTTGAAAATACTACAATATCCAAAACAAGCACACAACTCATGCGTGTATGTACAATACAACAATGTTGAAAAATGTCACAAAATAGCGTACTGAAAGAGAAAATGAACCAGTGAAATTTAGTTTCCTTCTAGGTGGGAAACACAAGCTGATTGTAGAAATGGGCACTTTTGGTGCGAAAATGAGAAATTCCGATTTCTACAATAAAATTACAGAAATGAGAAGTTTACCAAGTGATTTCTGGAGATCTAGCATCTACAACACTTTTTTATTAAGAAATTCTTTGAAAGTTCAACAAGAACGCCACAGAATTTAAATCAATCAATAACAACAAGACAGGACGAGTGAAAGCGTGGCAAATAACATAATAATAACGATAGATTTTTACACTCAATTGGCCCAATAACGAATGAAATGATTTAACACTATAGTTTAAGTTCGTGTTATTTGTGAAAC